GGGTTGAAGTTGTCCTCTTTCATGTTCTATCAGATGGTATTAGACAAAATTACACGGCCAGTTGAGGATACTGATGAAGATGAAGAATTTGATGTTGAGTCCAGAATTGCTACATCACTGGTTTTCTATGGATGTTCATTGAAACCGGTATAGGCAACTTTTTTTTTTTTTAAACAAAGCTATTGCTCATATGGCAAATGCTTGCTAATAAACACTTAAAGTTATAGAAGGCATGAAATTCATAGTTTAACTGTGTAGTTGCTTTGCAGTATTATGAACAATGAACTAAATGCTTCTTCCTGAACTGAAAGTGGAGATCTCTGGGGGGACCTTTCCTACAGCCTCCACGTGCTTTAAAACTCTGAAGCTGCCAGCTCATTTCCAAATGTACAAAGATTTTGAGGAAGCAATTATTATTATTATTATTATTATTATTATTTTTTTACACATTTACAAACAGCAGATTCACATTTTTATTCAAAATGTATCTTTCATTTTTTATTTATCTCCAGCCGTCATGTTTATTTTTTGTTAAAGGTAGTTTCATTTACAATAAACCAAAGATTATAATGTGATATTAACCAAAAAAGCTCAACTATGTGACAAACGTGATGACGGGGAAAGCTTCAAAGAAAAGGGCTTTAAAATTTTTCTGTTTTTTGTTGTGCGCTCTCTATTCATCTCTGTCTTTGCCTGCCTGGGCAGGGCTCATTTTGGGCTCTCGCCTCTGGCCCACACACCTGCCCTGGTTGCCAAACCTGCTGCTGATCTACCTGATCGCTATTTAAGATGGCTGTTCTGTGCTTCTAGTCGCTGGATCGTTGAATAACCTGTGTTAGTTAGTCCAGCAACCAATAGCGGAATCTGTGTGTTTTCTCTAGCCTGTTTCTGATTAATCATTTCTTGTAAATAGATTATTAGGTGTTCCCATTTCCCGGTGCTAATCATGTGAGAGTGACTGAGTGGCGAAGTGTGTTGGAGCTGGAGCGTGAAGTGGCTGCGGAAAAGAGTGGAGAGTTTTCTGGAGAGCATCGTATGTGTGGACCTTTCCCCTTATCCCACTCATGGACCCTCCTTGCGCATTGCATATATATTGCAGTAGGCAAACATTATAAGTCACAGTCTCTTTGCAAAAGGATTCCTGGTCTGCGCGAGTCCTTCTGAAACCTGTGACAGTGCATCTGTTTGTTTTAGCACGCTAAATAAAAAGCCTGGGTCGGTCTCCTATGATTCTTGACAGAACTTGGACTGTCTCCAGGTATGATCCATTAGCATCTGTTAAAGAAACTCCTGGAACTGGCAAAGCAGCGAGCTCTTTATCTGATAGCTCACGGGTCAGCTGAATCTCAGGTACTGATATTTTAAACTTTTAAATAATATGGTGCCCAGTTATTTAAATGAACTCCTCAAC